TGTTGTTGTTGTTGTTGTTGGGTTTGTTGTTGTTGTTGTTGGGTTTGTTGTGGTTGTTGTTGTTGGATTTGTTGGGTTTGTTGGTCATTATTATTGGTTGAAAGTTTACAATATAAAATAATTATAAAGTAATAATTTAGTTTATATCTTTTTTTTATACTGATTATTGATCTTTTTTTTATTTTATTTCGATTTTTTATTTAATTTTCTTTTAAATGATATCCAGAACCTTATACAAAATATTTCATTTTAAAAATAATTTTTAAAAAAAAAAAAAAAAATTTATTAATTATCATAATTATTCGATTTACATATGAATAAATATTCCATTTATTTTATAAATATAAATTAAATTATTTCTAGTGTAAAACAAATTAGATTAAAAAAAAATTGACATAATAACTTTTATTATTTTATTATTAAGAAAATAAAAAAAAAGAAAAAAATAATGTTTGTTTTCATTGTCATTTTAGATTTTAATAAAAAAAAAAATAAATAAATATTTCACATTATATCACATACCAATTCAAGTGGGTGTATTATTTTTATTTTGTTTATAATAAAATAATGTTTATGGTGTTGCAGAATTATTTTTAGAAAAAAAAAAAATTAAAAATAAATTAAAAAATTAATTTTGAAATTTTTTTTTATCAAATTTATCATCATTTATTGAAAGTACTATAATAATAGAGAATAAAATAAAATGATTACTACACAGTAGATTATTATCCAATGCTAAAGAAATTAAAGTTACATTCATATATTATGAATATAGAGCCAATGAAAAGAATGATACCGTTAATTCAACAATGCAACTTCAAAACAGTTTGAATTTGTTAGTTTTACAATTTCATGGATTCTTTGGGTAGTAATAATTACATCAAAAAGTTTTGCACTGCCTTCTGATATCATTTAAGATTTTCACAATCAAAATGTAAGTTTATACACATTTATTTCATTTCCCAAGAAATCTCGAACAATGTATGATTTCCCAAGAAACCTCGAACAATATAGTCATAAGGTACGTCCTGGTAGAACCGATAAAGTACAAGAACCAAAAGTATTCAGTTTTCTTATAACAAGTGATGGTTATTTAATTTCAGCTTTTTTCGATTTCTTAAAAGATCAATATCAAACACCATATGTTGGATAGTGACAGTAGCAGGGGCAGGGCAGCAGGAGTAGCAGAAGCAGCAGTAGTACAAGCAGCAGGAGCAATAGCAGTAGCAGCAGGAGCAGTAGTAGTAGCAGGGGTAGCAGCAGTACCAGCGGGGCAGTAGCAGGGGTAGCAGCAGTTGCAGGGGCAGTACTACCAGCAGGGGTAGCAGCAGTTGCAGGGGCAGTACTACCAGCAGGGGTAGCAGCAGTTGCAGGGGCAGTACTACCAACAGGGGTAGCAGCAGTACCAGCAGGGGTAGCAGCAATACCAGCAGTAGCAGTAGCAGTACCAGCAGGGGTAGCAGCAATACCAGCAGGGGTAGCAGGGGTAACAGTAACAGTAGCAGTCCCAGCAGGGGAAGCAACAGTACCAGCAGGGGCAGCAGGGGTAGCAGGGGTAGCAGAAGTAGCAGTAGCAGTAGCAGTACTAGCAGGGGTAGCAGCAATACCAGCAGGGGTAGCAGCAGTTGCAGGGGCAGTACTACCAGCAGGGGCAGGTGATTAGTTTACGATAAAAATGAATTTAATCTTTTTAATTCAATATATTTGGGGAATATAAAATATTTATTTTAAGATTATTAAAAATAATAATTATAAAAAAAACATCATTATTAAATAGATAAATAATATAATTTTCATTTTTTTTTAATTTTAATTTGTATTTTTGTTTTCATTCATTTAACTACTTTAATAAACTAATTTTAAAATAAAAAGTATTGTTATTAAAATAAAATATAGTAAAGGAATAGTATCACAAAAAAATCAAGAAAATCAAAGAGGTATAAAAAAAAATGAAAGAAAAGTAAAAATAAAATTATTTTTTTATATTAAAATTGTCGTTTTTTTATTTTTAATATTATTGAAAAAATTATTATGATTAATGTGGTCTAATTCCCCATTTCATAAATTTTTGAATTAAAGTTTGTTAATGATTGTAAATTTCTAATCTATCACCTTATTCTTCTTCTTAATGGATTTGATAAAATACCAGCTTTATAACCTATAAGTGTTTTTGCCAATCTAAAACACATTCAAAATCAGAATCCAGTCCTTCTTCAGCTATAACTTTACATTTGTAACACTCCATCTTTTTGTCTATATAGAGTTCTTTTTGTGTTGTAGTTGGAGCTGTTATAAGTGGTGTTGTTAGATTGGAATTGTTGTTCTATTTCAACTAACCTTCTAATCATATCTCTTTGCTCATCTTCATTTGGTGATTGAAATCTGTATTCTTATTATTTCTGAATTATCCACATTTATTTAAATAAATATTATATAACTATTATTAATTATGTAATTATTTTGCTAAATTATTATTATTATAAAAACTATAGTTGAAATAAATAAAAAAAAAGAATTTAAAAAGTTATTGATTGAAATAAAGGAAAAGAAAAGAAAAGAAAAGAAAAGAAAAGAAAAGAAAAGAAAAAAAAAAAAAAAAAAAATTAATAATGAAATTTTTTATAAAGATGAAAACTTTACTTTATATAGTTGATTATAAGGTAATCTGTATAAAAGTTAAGTTCGCAATTTATATGATTTTTTCCAATTGTTTTTTTTTTTTTTTAGTATATTATTTTTTTATTTATTAAATTTTTTAAATTTTTTAAATTTTTTTAAATTTTAATTAAAAAAAAATGTGTTTTATAAATTTTTTTTTTTTTTTTTTTAATTAAAAATAATAGCTTTTATAACCACACACACTATTTTACATTTTATATTGCTTTTTTTTACACCAATCAACTTTACCCATAGCATAATATTATTTTATTATATTTTTTTTTTTACACACCTCACTCAACTTCACTTTTTATTAGATTTGTTTTTTTTGTAAATAATTTTATTTTTAGTTTTTATATTAAAAAAAAAAAAAAAAAAATTAATATATTTTGTAAATAAATTAGTTCATTATATTATTTGTTATTTGTTATTTATTTTTTTTGTAAATAATTGTTTGTATATTATATAAAAAAAAAAAAAAAAATATATTATTTATTAATAAATTATTTTTATTATATTTGTAAATAGTAAAAAAATGTTTTATTTTGAAATTTGTTTTTTAGTTTTCTTCATTTTTTATTGGTTTTTAAAAAAAATCAAAAATAACACCACCAAACACTACTACCCAGATGGAACCGAGTATGACGAAGACTTGTTCCTCGACGACGCATTTTATGAGGATTTTCATAAAAAAAATAACCCACCACAACTAAATCCTCAATCACTATCACAACCACAACCAACAACCAACAATAACAACCACAACATAATCCAAGACCAACTATCACAATCGCCCCCACCCCAACAACCACAACCACTATCACAATCACTATCCCAACCACAACCACAATCACAACCAAAATCAAAAAACACAGCATCCACCCCTGATTACAAAAAACTTCTTCAAAGTATTCGTGATTACGAAATAGAAGAAGAAGAAGAACAACAACAACAAGAATCACAGCCAAAATCACAACAACAACCAACATTAACAACCGCTACAGCCCCAACTATTTCAACTGCTGTCAAAAATCCACAGCCATCACCACCTGAGGAAGCCATAAGACGTTTAAATCAACGTTTAGAGCTCTACCAATTAGAGAATAGTAGAGTAATTCCAGGAGATGGCAACTGTCAGATGTACGCTTTATCTGACCAAATTTTTGGAGACTTGGAACATAGCTTGGAAATTAGAAGAGCCATTGCCACATGGCTCATTAAAAATAAGAATCTAACCCTTAAAAATGGTGCAAGAATATCCCAATTTGCCCATACTTCAAATTGGTATAAGTATTGCATCCGAATGGCAAGAAGTGGAACTTGGGGTGACCACTTAACATTAATTGCTGCTGCTGAAGTATATAAATCTAAAATAACAATTATTTCATCAGTCGAATCTGATAGCAGCTTTTTCATTGAAATTGTTCCAAATTCAATTGAAAATGATAGAGCAATTATTTTATCACATCATGCCGAGGAACACTATGGCTCAGTACGTCCAATGATGGTTCAAGACGTAAATTATTAAAATTATAGAAAACTCAGCCAGGTTATATTTTATTTTTAAAGGTAAATAATTATTTTCTTTTTTTTTTATCTTTTATAATTTTTTTATAATTTATTAATTCATTTTTTAATACAATAGATTTCACTATTGTCATAATATTGACATTGGTCTATATATTTCGGTATTAGCTGTACAGCTAATCAATAATTTATAGACAGAAGGGTTTGCTAAATAATCGTATTACAAGTGATAGTTCGCTCGGTGATTCAAATAGTGGTCTAAGCAATGTTTCAAGAAGGGTTCAAGTGGTTCAAGCAATTTAAGTAGTGGTTCAAATGTTGGTCCCAATAATGTTTCAAGTAATCAGTGAAAAGGCTGTGAAAGTAATCGTTCAAGGGGTGGTCAAATGGTCGTTCAAAGGGGTAGTTCGCGTGGGGATTCAAACGGTGGTCAAGAAATTTAAATTTTTAAGTTATATTTATAGTAATCAAATGTGGTTGGCTCAAGTAGCTATATAAAAAGTAAATCAAATGTGGTTGGTTCAAGTAGTAGTTCAAATAGTGTTTCAAATAGTTATTTAGGTGGTGAAGCAAATGCAGTTTCAAGTGGTGTTATATCTATTAGTGATTCATGTGGTACTTCAAATGTTTAATACATTGAATTGTAGGAGTCCAAACAATTTAAATAATAATCGGTCAAGCTAACAAAACCAGATTAAGAACCGAAAACAAAAAAAGAAGTTAAAAGAATAAGGGAATTGAGTAGAGATCTTCGATTTGATAAGTTACTTATAAGAAAGATCAGAATTCGTCAAGAAGTCATAACTTAAGTATGATATCTTTATTTAAAATTTTATTTAATATTAAATTATATATTAATAATCTTTTTATTTTATTTTTTCTTTAAATATATTAATTAACCACCCAATATTATAACAAAACAGTATACCGTAGTTGATTTATAATGCCAATCAATCTCATGAACTATTTTATAAATATCATTAATTTTCTCTGGCCAAGTAATTATGATAGAAATAAAATAGTTTTATGAAGAGAAGGTAAAGAACACAGAAGTTTTCATAGCTATTCATCAAATTAGGTAATATCATACCTCGTCACTTCAAGAAGTCCATTAAACTTTAATTTTCACTCATCATCAAAATAATCACAGCGCAACAATTTATAGATTTAAATCAACTATGGGAGAAATAAGGATTATGAAAAAAACTCACCCTCGATAAACTGGTTATAAAGATCCAGGCACAATTAGACAAATAAATATTTTTATAAACAAATTAAACTAATTTTAATATAAATTTAAAACAATTATAATAAAAAAAATAAAAATTTTTTAAATTATTTTTTTCATTGTTTTATCGTTTATTTTTTATTATTAAAAAAAAAAATAAAAAAAAAAAAAGTTATAAAGAAATAATAAAGACAAAAAAGATAATAACTAATGGGATGTTCCTATCAGCTTTTCTACAAACACTGAAAAAGATGAAATGGAAATTTGATCCAAATTTAATTTTAAATAAATAAATAATAAAGTAAATAATTAAATAAAATTTAATTTAAATTTTAAAAAAAAAATTATTTTCTTTTTCAATTTTATTTTTATTTTTTATTTATTTATTAAATTATTTATTTATTTATTTATTTATTAATTAATTAATTAATTTATTTATTTATTTATTAATTTATTTTTTTATTTATTAATTTATTTATTTATTTATAAATTGTTTATTGTTTGCACATTATAAATTGATCCCACTGAATTAAAAAATGATTTGAGTTTGTCCATTGGTCATCATGCTATCTTGAATAAATTTAACCCCTTTTTATTTAGAGCACCTAAATGCTTTAAATAAAAAGGAGTTTTAAATTTATTCAAAAAAAAAAAGAATTAAAAAACTAAGTACTTTTTCTATTTTTACTACCACTACCAGCTTTACCACCATCTGCGTTTTCTATATATATACTATTTTCACTGTTAAATTTATTTTTACCACTATTCTCTTCGTCCTCTTGATCTTTAATATTTACATTACCATTTTCTAATAATTTGTATTCATGGTGATGATCGTCAAT